CATACAAATGAGATTACTAATAGCTTAGTTTAAATATCCTAATGTAAAATTTGATGTTAAAGAAAATTAACTTGATGTGAAAATAATGAAACCTCTTGACTTATGTATAGAATATTAAGAATAACTTGTATACATGTACCCAAACAAAGAAGACTTGAAATTGAATTTATTGTGACTTATAATATGATGAGGAAGAAAGACAATTTCAATGTAGATAAAGGCATAAATCAATTTTGTAAAATCATGCAGACTTCCAATTAACTTTTCTAAGAATTTTCAGTGTTATTATTTGACAGATGTTACAAAAAAGATATTACATTTTATGACAAGGAGAAATAATTAAGTATCAGAATTTAAAAGGGGAAGGCCCATGAGCTGTGAGGAAGAATTTAATTTTTACATGAGAGAACCTGTGTCTTTGCTGATGGATCATTTGGTTACTGAGCATTCAACAACTATTTCTGGCCTTAAAATATCCAGGCATAGCCCAGGCGTGGTGGCTCAATCCTGTAATCCCAGCACTTTGGGAGGCTGAGGTGAGAGGATTGCCTGAGCCCACGGGTTCGAGAACAGCCTGGGCAACTTGGCAAGACCTCGTCTCTACAATAAATCAAAATATTAGCCGGTCGTGGTAATGCACACCTGTAGTTCTGGCTACCTGGAAGGGTGAGGCGGAAGGATTGCTGGAGCCCAGCAGGTTGATGCTGGGCTGGCCATGAGCGTGCCACTGCACTCTAGCCTGGACAACGGAGTAAAACTCCAACTCAAAAAAAAAATAGCCAGGCATCAAAAGCAATGTTTCTGTTATTAAAACTTCTTAAGTTTTAATTCACGTGTATAAAGAATATATTTTGAACATGTCGATACATAAAAGGCCATCAAGAAAACACTTAATTGTTTGGCATGCTATTGTTAGAATTTTGTAAGTATGATTCTATCTTATGGGATTTCATTTTGTCTCTGTTGATTTTCTGGATAACGCTTGTCATTTGGAATGGAAACATTTAATATATGACATGCACATGGTATGAGGGAAAAAATACTCCTGATATATGTATATATAGTTCCCCAGTAGAGAGCCAAGCAGGCAGTGGCTACACCTACTGGACTCCACTTAGCTGCTTTGCAGTTAACAAACCTCATTTCCTTAATACAAGTGCACACACACACACACACACACAAACACACTCGGGGTAAGGACATTGTTTTACCAGCATCCTTCCTCATTCTGTTTCTGATGGTCTCAGGGCTTTGGGGAACTAAATGATAGCTTCTCTTCAGAAAATGGTTAGGGACCTCTTTACAATACATTAGCTAAGCATTATGGTCCTCTGATGAAAGTTTCTAAATTTAAAAATGTTTTCAAATACTGTGCATCTGTTTGTACTAGCACGGGAAGCAGCTTGTGATGTAGTATTATATAAAAAGGCAAGTTTCATGACAGGACACACATACTATTTCTTTATGTTTTTAAAAATGCATCAATTTTATAGCATACATTGTGGTTTTTCATAGCTGTTTGCCTTTTTGCATCCTATTTCTTCCACAGAAACTTCTTTTCTGCCTAGTGACGTTTTGTTTATTCTCTTAGAACTTGACGGAAACATTATCTGTGAAGCTCTACCTGATTCCCCAGACATAACGGAGTCTTCTCCTGAGTGTGTGTGCCCTCTTGCCCACTCATAGCACCATCTTGCCATGTTTTATTCCGATATCTGCTCTCCTGCTAGATAGTGAGCTCTCACCACGCATCCCTGGTTCTGGCAGATTTCATGGCATCAGCTGAGAACAGAAGAATGACTATGACATCATGCTGCTCCAGGCTAGAGGTTGATATGCACCGGGCATTTTAGGGTGCTCTTTTATCTGTTGGGTTTGATAAAAGTAACATCAAATGTACTTTGTGACGCTAGTTATTTAATTCTTGTCCACATGATTATTGAGGTGTTTTTTTATTTTTAGTTTTTTGATTTTTTGATTTTAAAGATGTGAGGTATAATTCAGGGTTAGGTATACAAATGTTTATTGAAGTATTTTTTAAACAGCTTTATTGAGGAATAATTTACATGCCATAAAGTTCATTGATTTTAATTGTATAAATGTAATTTTTTTTTAGTAAATGTACAGAGTTGTGCAGTCATCATGACTGCAATGACTCCAATTTTAAAACAATTTTGTTACCCCCAGAAGATCTCAACCGAGATTATTTTAAACGTTGATGGAATTGTCCAGAAACTTCTGTTGGTGAATCAGACTGGTTGAGCTCAAAATGTATTGTTGTTTCTGGCTCTGAGCTGTCTGCTTGAAGGCAGGCCTAGATACTTAGTGGTATGGCATCCTAAAAGGATAGTACGCTGGCAATAGTTTTAATTTCCTTTCAGAGGCTTCTCTGTGATGTGCTCTGAGCTAGGTCCATTGTATAGATTACCTTATTTGTAATTAGAATATAGTAAGCTGTAATGTAGATACATTCCTCATTTAATATGCAAGGACTCTGTGGAGGAAAATAAGGAACTGACTCGAGGTCACAACACTAGTAGGCTGGGATGGGGTCTTTGACCTGACTACATATCACACTTGCCTTACACATTCAGTAGCTATATATTGAGCAATTAGTATGTGCTTCTGTGAAAAGACCAGCCCTAGGAAATATGTAGCCAAATTTGAAGAGTTATTATTTGGTCTGAGAAGACAAAAGATGGGTATTGAAAGAATAAACTCTGCAATCAGCTTTTTCTTTAACTTGGTTCTACAAAGTTTGGTTTGAAGCCAGCCCAGTGGGCACATTTTTAAATGAGTCAAGCAAACCTAGAAAAGAGAAGAGATAAGACCATGTTTTTAAAAATATGAAATATTAAGGTTGTGTGGGCTGTCAGCATAATTTCTGATTGTGTTTGCTTTGGGGATTTATTTTGTCTTAAAATGTTAACATTGGTCAATTTTGGGCAACACAAATGGTCAATCGTATTAGTTAGAATCGTAGTTTAATTTCTGTAACAGAGACCCAGGAGTGGCTTAGCCAAAACAGGAATATATTTCTCTCTCAGATAAAAAGCTCGGTAGGTGATCAAGTTCTGACATAGCTGCTCCACAACTGTTAGGGACCCTTCCTCTTGTTATCTTGGTGCTCTGCCATGGTTTGTGCCTGGCCTTCATCTTGGGGCCTAAGGTGACTGGGTTTTCTCCTTCTATCACACCCACATTCTAGACACCAGGACGAAGAGAAGGTGAAGGAGAAGACATAGACTTTGCCCCTTTAAGGTCATGGCCAAGAAGTTGCATGTATTACTCTACTTTATGTCTTATTCGATATAGTCACAGGACCACATGCAGCTGCACGATAGGTCACAGAAAATGTGTTTTTTATAGGAGGCACTGAAGGTTGGAAAGAGGCCAGATATCTAACTGAAAACTCCATTGAATGGAGGACAGCGTGTCTGCCCCCTTTCCACGAAGATGAGTTTAATATGAAAAACATAGACTTTCAAGTAAGAAGGCGGGAGAGAGAGGATGCTTTAGGCCAAACTCTCTCTTACAGTTTCTCCTTTCATATCTGGGCCAGAAGGTTTGCCCTGATCCAGATACTTCTGTTGATGTGATTTCCCCATGCTGTGAAGACACTCCTTTGTTTGGAAGTTGGCAATGTACCTGCCTGTCTTTTATGACACAGGTCAGCTTGAACTCGTGTTTTTACTGAAAAGTGTGTGACAGCTCTGGGGTTGGCATCTGGATTGGATGTCCACATAGCAGAGTTTACTTTGGTAAGGTTTGGGTGGCATTTTCCTTCTGCAAAGTATTTCTAGGAAAAAAGTTTCCTTCTCAGATTACTGTCTGTTGTAATTAATATGTAGTATTATTCAGGATACAAAGATTAAAAGTTCTGCATTTGGCATGGATTCAGACTGTATTCTTGCAAAACTTCATCTGTTTCTTAGAGAACTAATGATACCTAGGAGCCAGGAATTCAAATCCAACCCCAGTATTTAACTACGACGTGATTCTGACTAACCCATTGGACTTATGTACTTTTCTTGGCTAATAATATCTCAAAACAGAGCTGAGAAGTAGCCCCTCTCATCATATTATATGTGTTTAGTCAACAATGATGAAGTCCTTAAAAAATGCAAGTGTCGAGCCGGGCTCAGTGGCTCAGCCTGTAATCCCGCGCCTTTGGGAGGCTGAGGTGAGTGGATTGCCTGAGTCCACGGGTTCGAGACCCGCCTGGGCAGCGAGACCTCATCTCAACAATAGATCAAAAAATCAGCTGGGCATGGTAGCACATGCCTGTAATTCCGGCTACTCGGAAGGCTGAGGCGGAAGGATCACCGGAGCCCAGCAGGCAAGACTGCGGTGGCCGGGAGTGGCCACTGCACTCCAGTCTGGGCGACAGAGTGAGACTCCAACTCAAAAAAAAAAAATGCAAGTGTCACCTTTTTATTGTTGGTTACTAAACATTACAGTTAACCTAAACTCTTTTTTAAGAATGAGTTTTACTTACAACTAGCTAGACCAACAAGAGAAATGAATGTGAAGATACACTTAATGTTTGCCAACATGTCACTTTATGGTCTTCCTCTAAAGGCTTTTTTTTATTGGAAAAAGATTGCTTGAGCTCTTGAGATTAGAAAGTTAAAGTAATCTTGGTAGGCAGGATATTTCTTCTGATAACATATATCCTTTTCAGAGAATGCGTTTTGAGAGATGTAGATTTCACCATAAATCCTTCATTATTTGAAGGTCTATGTGCTAGTATTACATTTCAGGCAAGACTAATTTTAACCAAGTTCACTAAAAGTATTTCCAGTGTTATCTCTGGTAATTTTATCTGGTTCCCTTTCACACACTCTTGACACAGCCAAATTATACAGAGTATATAGAATAAACCACTGTCTGTAGAAGTCGTTTTGTGGTTCCCTTCTTTTTTGTGTGGATGTTTTTCTCCACTCTATCTGTTGCCTGCATCCTCGGCCATCACGAATGTTTTGTTTTCTCTCTTGCAGATGACACGATTGGTGCTGCCTGGCATGGTAGAAAGGTGAGTCACGAGCTCACACACAGACGCTGGGGAAGCAGAGCTCATTATTATTTATAGGGAGAATCCTTTCTCTGAAAAAGTCGTTGAAGTGACTGATGAAGAAAGCCCCCATGTCTTAGCCACAGAGCGACGTGCCAGGCGAGTCACACAGTGGCGCCTGAGTCATCAGTGGCGGAGGCCTTTTCCCCTCGATTCCCCTTTTATTTCCCTCTCTAGGCTTGTAGTGGTTCCCTTAGATCAGGATTAAAAAGGCTGCCTGAGTCACCATCGCTAACTCAATTGCTTGCTATTCTGAGGGGGTGGATAGAGTTCCTGGGATATTCCCAGGAAAACCTTCTTAAAGCTGTATCCTCTCAGCCAAGATCAGTGGAGTTTTAGGAAGCAAGACCCCCTTCCTCTGGCTTTTCAGGTCTTACTGGGAGAAGGGGTATATGAGAAACTTAGGTGTGTCGTATGAAGTGATTTTAAGAGGTCAAACCAACCCTTGGGGAAAAGGCGATGTCCTCTGGGCACGTCCGGGTTCCGATTCAAGCTGGGTTCTTACGAGCACATGCTGGATTCTTATGCTTACTGAGAAATATGTTGTAGAGCTTTGTTTATTTGAAGTAGTGTGAGGTGTAAAACTGGAATTAAGTTCTGTTTCTTCCTTGGAAAATCCTGAATGTCTAGGCCTTCAAAGAAAACCCGCTGAAAAGTGTTGGGCTTTAACCTAGCTTAATCATGTGCTGAATTCAGGACTTAATAGTTATCCTTCCTCTGCAAAATAACTTTGAGTTTGGAAAAAGCCCAGAGGAATCAGTTTTGGAAAGGGAGGACCCAAAGACCCTACTTCTGTTGAGAAACCAACTCCAGGTGGGAATTATGGCTTACATTTATTGAGTACATACTGGGTGCCAGGGACTTAGTAAGTGTCAACTCATTTAACTTTGATAGCCTCCCACCATTGTACAGATGAGGAAACTGAGGCTAGGAATTCACTTGCTGAGCATCTACAGGGACTGGTCAAGAAACTGTTTCTCAGCAAGGCTGTCTTTGTAATTCCATTTTATATGCACTGTTTTGTATATTTTGGTTGCTCTATTGAGTAACATTTCCCTTTAAAACCTTCAAACTGTTTGCTGTTGGTTGACAGTAGGAGTGAGCCCCTGATAGTCAGATAAGGAAACAACTGTGGTCAAACCCAGCCAGAACCCTGGAAGAGAGCCAACAAAAATAGGACCCAGTAGGGATGAAATATGTGCCGTCCTCTTACTCCTAGTATTGACATCTGCAGGTAACACGGTATTAATTCAGGCTAGTGCATTCATCCATTAAAAAAGAAATACTTATCAACCACAGAGGTATTGCAAAAGGAATTTTTAATTGTGTTGGTGAAAAACCGTATCAAAAGAGATAATGGCTGTAAAATAATTTTGCTGAGCCTAAAGTATTGGGTTCAAAAAGTCATTGAAATCTGGTGCTTTAAACTAATTGAAAATAATCTCCCTCGTCTGACAGATGAAAAAACCGAGCCCCAAAGAGATGGAGTGCTATGAAGCTACACAGTTTGTATGTGATGCCAATGCCAGGAGCTAGTAACTTCACTGCTATCTCTGCAGACCTGGCAGCCATCACAGCTAGATCATTGAATAAAAACAGACAATGCAAAGAAGAGAGTCCACCTGTATAACAGGCATTCATTGAGGAAAGTCTGTCATGGAGTCTACAGATGAACTGGATCCTTGCCTTTTAAGACATCAATTTGATTTTAAACTGAGGTTGAGAAATGATCTACTGGAAAACCATCAGAAGCCATGGCCTACTTGACTTCATGGGATGATTGTTGTGCTTGCTAAGAACTAGTGAGAATTGTATGTGGATTTTATGAATTAATACTTTTGGCTAGGAGAAGGAATAGCTATGTCCACTTGAATTAAAGGAGTGAGTTAGTAGGTCAAGGTAGGCTAGCTGCTGTGCCAGATACCTTAAATGTCAGTGACTTTCCCCTCACATCTCTACCCAGTCATTAAGGATCTGAGTCTCCTTCTGTTCAGGGGCTTCTTCATTCTCTAGCGTCTTGGAGTTCTCTGCATCCAGCTAACAGAATAGGGAAAAAAGTGTAAGGATGGTTTTAGGGGAAGTTTCACAGGCCAGCCCTGAAAGCAGTGGACATAACTTCTGCCTGAATTTCATTGTCCAGAACTCAGTCATAGGCTACAGCTCGATGCAAGGGAGCCAGAAATGTTAGCTGTGTGCCCAAGAGGAAAGAAAAACTCCAGGTTAATGATTCATCTTTCTTTTTTTACACGTTATGCATGGTTTCATTAGAGCCTGCTCTTGCCACTTCCCCCAACTGGTATATTTCCTGTGGTTGATTTCCATGGGATTGGTATCTCCATTGAGTAACAGCAGAGTCCTTTGTAAAGATCCTTTGTGGTTGTTGATGTTTCCCTTTCACTGATTCCACTTCTGATGTATGAGTTTTTCCAAATCCTCTAGAACTATAGCCTAGGGCCAACTGACGATCACTAAACAAGTATCTATAATCAAACTAAGGTATTATTACCCTAGAAGCAGAAAGTGCATAATTACATTACAGAGGAAACTTGCTCTTTTCACTTCCCTGGAATTATAAACATTGTGTACAGCTGGAGCCAGGAGGTGGTTGCCATAACAACCATGGAAAAGCTAAAAATAGCCTCTTTCATACTGTATTGCTTAAGGTAGAATTATGACATGTTATGGTGTTTTAGGGCAGGTAATTCTCTTTCATGTGCTAAATGTTTGCAGACTTTCTTCAACAAGGCAATATTTGTATAATGTAAGTATTATGGATTGCTGGTTCTAATTATATACCTGACCTCTGTGTTCCAGGATTCTTTTCTGACACAGAACTCTATTTTGATATGTTTCTTACTCTTCTTAAGAATCTGTTAGAGAACTGTCTGTACCAATTTCAGTGGAATGTTGAAGCTTCAAACACGTAATGGCCTCCTTCCCCCAAGAGCACACTATGACCTCCCTGATATGAAGTGGAAAAGTGAAGCATTGGGATGGAGTCTTTTTTGCATATTCTTCCTTGTCCACCATTTAGTTCTGTGTGCAGTTAGCTGTCCACACGAGGGTTGACCATGCAGTTCCAGGTCTTCTCAGCAGGTCAACACTTCCCCACCTTTTGCTTTCCACCTGCAGGGTGGGACAGTGATAAAGTTCCTAAGGAAGGTAGAAATCAGTGACTTACTTCAAAGGAGGCCTATCACTTCCCTGTGACAACAGTGTTTTTTTATACAGGCATGAACAAGGATACTGCAACAGTCTGGTCAGATACTTTATTTTATAAAACACTTTATTTATCAAATAAAGACTTGGCAATGTTTTATTCAGGTGACAATTAAAGGGAGTCTTACTGGGAATTCCACAGGTCTGAGGGAATTCTCAAGAGCGTAGTTTTAGGAAGCTGTAAATGCAAGGTATACTGAATTTTATAGTTGAACAGGCTTGTGGGAGGACTAGTAATTAAGAAGAATACATATATATGAAAGGGTCCTTTCTTGTGAGCAATGAGTGTTTTCTGCTTCATTTTCCAATTCTAGTAGGTCCTCAATAATTTGTACCACTGAGACACCATTGTGGGTTAACAAGTAAGCAGTATGATGAGTTAAGAATGTTGCATCACAGAGAATATTGCTTGTTTACTTGGATATTTGTCATAACAAATAGAAAATGTGCTGAAGTGTGAGCAACATGAGTCTTCGTTATAGAACTGCAGCAGAAATTCTTAATGTACTTTCCCATCTTAGAATTGTTCCCGAGTCCCCAGAAAATGAGAGATTAACCGGGGTTTGGTTTTGTGTTTGCTTCTATGTGCAATTAAGTGCAGCCCATTTTGTCCTTCTGCTTGATACAACAGAGTTGTCATGAATCTGACTGTGCCATGGAAACTGGTTTGACGTCACGAATTCTGCTTAGATGGAGGATTAGAGCTAGACAGCGTGGCTGATTTTAAGGAAAGCCCTTTGTGCCTTGCAGTCCCAAGTGTTCAGCCCATTTCTACATAAAGACTAGATACTGTATACAGTACAGGGATTAAGACAGGCTACACCAGTGTGTTATTTGTGATTCAGACAGAACTCAGTTGAATATTATTATCCCTGGAAAGAAAGAGTGAGAGAATTGTATGTTGTCGTGGGTGTGGGTGTGGGAGGAAGGTTTTTGCTAGACAAATATGTGGGCAGAACAGAGATTTGTAGAGGGCCTATTTTCTCTACTGTCATTTTGGCACAATTATATATGCAGTCCTTTGATTTACTTACATCTAGTACATTCTTGCTTTGTCCTTTGTTGGTCTTAAATTTGTTCTAGTGCTTTTTAGAGTGCAAATACTCTGTTTTGTATAAAATACCCTAAAATTCTGACTTTTCTTTAGTTCAAAGTAGCTCCGCCCCCTAGAAATTTTCTTTAGTTCAAAGTAGCTCCGCCCCCTAGAAATATTTGAGAAACAGAATCTTAGCTGCCTCAAGGAGCAAATAAGTAAAGGAGCATGACAGCGTGGGTGTTGCACATTGGATTATTGGTCGGTATTATGTCTTAAAATGAGAAAGAAGCTTTTATTATATTTAAGTGACTTTTCCTGTATTTATCATTGCTTTGGTGAGTGAAGTTTTAAATGTCTGTTTCAAGGAGGTCAGGGTTTAATTTTTTAAATGTGCTTGATAATGTTAAACTTTAACTTCTACAGACTTTTAATTGCATTTCATTTATGAGGAATGAAATAAAAAATGTAAGATTTTTGTTCAAAGGCACATACAGCCACCCCAGCTAATTTGAGTATAATGGAATATGTAAGCCATCTGATAAAACCAGCAATGGTAGGCTAAGGCTTCCATGGTAAACATTTTCTGCAGCTACTTCAAACTGGCTTTTTTTTTTCCACTTGCTCTCAATGAGTGAGGTCATAGCAATGCCTGGTTATGTAAGAAAACGTTCAAATAAAACCCTACCCACACATACAAAGAGGCTGGGCTGAAGGAGGGAGGCTAGCTTGTTAGGATTGGGGTTACTTCTCAGAAAACATGTGGAATTGCATAAGATACTTGATTGGATCTGCTTCCAGCTTAATGATAATACATATTTTCTGATATTTTGTAAATATGTTTGTCTCTTTCTTTTTACAAGTTAATTGAGATATTTCACGTACCATAAGATCTACCCATTTAAAGTGTATACTTATGGTTTTTGATATTTTAAAGAGTACAAGTTAGTAGCCGCAATCTAATTTTAGAACATTATCAACACTCCAAAAAGATAAAGGCATTTTAAACACCACAAATTAATTCTGTTTTAAAAGTCACGTAACAAAAGTGGTTTTTATTCCATTTTTATCAAAGGAATTTATCACAAATATTGATAAAATGAAATGACTAGAGACTCATTGCTAATTCATCAGTTTTTATCTTAGAGTGGTTGGGTTCTCACTCCTGACACAGACTCTTACTTTAAAAGTCAAAAGCAAAGGCTTTTGTGTTTCTGAGAGAGACACAAGCAAAAATACAAGAATAATGTAATTAATCCTCTGACTACTTATTTCCAACTTTGTTCAAAACCCTAGTGACATCTTTAAACTTGAAATTTGGTTTCTGTTATCAAAATGTTAATGGATTCACTGCTCAGGAAAGCATGCCTTACTAATAAGGACTTCTGTGTAAAGCAACAACAACATGTTTCCAGTGACACACACTAAACCGAGGATCCAGACTTCCCTTTGATGGCTGAAGTGGCATCTCGCCTAGAGGCTGGCAGATGGAGCGGGTGACCTTTGGGGATTACTTCCTTTCAGATTTATGTCTAGAACAACGTCAATGCCATTTAATCATGTTTCCTTTACTGCTGCGCGTACAATAGTCTGTGTGGTCCCTTTTTTAAAACACTAAGAGTGGTCGCGGGGAGCTAAACTTAGACAAAGAACAAGGAGAAACCAGGTTAAGGAAGGGAACCTGGTGTGGGAAACAGAGGCAGGTGGGGCCAGACTGCAGGAACTGAGAAAGGGCCTCCCTGAGGTGAGTGGATTTGAGGGAGAATTGGTAGTTCTGACACTCCTAAATCATAATTCCACACTTTACCTAACCACATGCACTTGCTAGCAACTAGTATCTTTACAGCATTGCTTTTCCCAAACTAATTTCATTTATTTGTAGAATTAGAAATTCCTGGGAACTTTCTGATGTTTAACTTTCAATAGTCTCTAAAAGTTACAGTAGCAATCGAGCTTTGCCTTTGGCAAAATAATGTGGTTTAGTGAACTATAGAGTACCATAATTTTGAAGTCAACTCTTTGTTTGGTACCCAGATATCTATAGCCCAGGGAGGCAGGAGGGCAGGGCACAGCCATCCACTCAATGCCAGAAGGTTTGATTAAGTACCTGTTTTGTTGCATGCTCAGGGCTGTGCAGTGTTTTAAGAGAAATGGGCTATATGCCCAGGAGCTTATGGTTTTGCTTGGGGGGGGTGCTGTGTTTATACACATGGAATTAAATACTACAGCAAGGTAGTGTGTGATGATATGCTAAGATAAAGGTGCAAGCAAGGAGCGTAAGTAAGAATTCTTGGCACTGTGCTCAGAGAAGACCTCAGAGGGCAGAGATCCACTCGAGGGGACTGGAGATCTGATCTGGTCCTGCCCTGGATTACTAAGACTGGAAATGAGCTAACCGTAAAGAAGAGCTATTTTTAGTTGATTGAATTATGCCTCATTCACTGACCAAGCATATTAGGCATCATGAAAGGCAGGGAGAGATGTACATTAGAAAAATAGCTGTTATTCTGCATATGATTATATATCTCAATCTGTCATTCACCAACAGTCACGTTTATTATTTCCTTGGGACATTTTCCTTTTTAGATCTAAAGGGGCGATTCTGAACATTTCCTCTGCCAGTGGCATGTTGCCTGTCCCTCTGCTGACCATCTACTCTGCAACCAAGGTGAGCGATATTTTGGTACATCACGTCGCTACAAGAATGAGGAGGAATTGTGAGTCTGAAAAATTAATGCAGATTTGCCCTTCCTGAGTTCTGTTCTTGGCAGTTTTCTAATGGGCTGAAAAGAAAAGGAAAATACCCCACATGCGTTTCAAGAGAGCCAGAACTAGAGACGTACTGCACATTTACTGTGAACTTGCAAATGGGGCCCCAGGATAACAGATCCACCAGGGCTTTTTCTTTGTTCCATAGTTTGCTGATTTTAAAAGTAATGCTTGATAATATTGTTAACTGTAGTTGATAAAAAATAAAAAGAATACATGAAAGTGAAACTTGTGCCTCCCCTGGAGAGCTGGCCTAGGCCAGTTAGCTCAGTTGATTAGAGCATGATGTTAACGAATCTGAGATCAGAGATCTAATACATGCATGAGTTCTCAGCATAAGAGAGATGCATCCAGGCAGCACATAAACGTACCCAGTGTGCACAGGAGAGACTGGAGGAGGGTGTGAATATTTTGCCACATTATCCAGAATTCATAGGCATTCATTGTCGTTTTTGGAGTGAGACAAGAATTTTTCAGAACACTTTATGTCATAAATTCATACATCACTGTTCACCTCTTCTCATTACTACTAGGAAATTTATTTATTTATTTATTTATTTATTTTGAGTTGGAGTCTCTGTCGCCCAGACTGGCATGCAGTGGCATGCTCACGACCAACCCCGGGTGACCAGCTAAGCTCTGGCGATCATTCCACCTCAGCCTTCCAAGTAGCTGGAACTACAGGCGTGTGCTACCACGTCTGGCTAAGTTTTTGATTGACTGTAGAGCCGAGGTCTCACCATGTTGTCCAGGCTAGTCTCAAACCCGCAGGCTTAGGCAATCCTCTCACCTCGGCCTCATAAAGTGCTGGTATTACAGGCTTGAGCCACTGCGACTGGGCTAGGAAAATAATTTAGAATACATCTCCTACTGCCTACGGGTCAATAGCATCATCTTCAAATACATTGTTTGGGCACGGCATCCATCTCTGAAGAGAAAATGACCATGTAGACATTGAAGTTAAGCAAGCTTTTAGGGAAAAATAAGCAAAATATAATGCAATAAGAACTCACAATATGTCAGGGAAGGAAATGAGCAAAATGTCCACCTTATTTTTCACATGAAAAACATCACTACTGTCTTTTGAAAAAGCTTGGCACCACTCCCCAACCCCTGCAATCTACTTGCTTTCTATGTCTCTGGAACATAACTGTAGGCATATTTAAAATGAATGCCATGTTTCTTGAAGGAATTGGTGATTCCGGCTTCTTATCAGTTCTGCTTCATGGACACAAAACTATTACTAATTGGGATGCTTGTGGAGTCATTACTGATACTTTGCATTTCCAGCCTGAGGTTGAGCCTGCATTTGAAAAATGGCATGTTCTATTTTACAAATAGATTTAAAGTTGTATTATCAGAAGAAGACAGGCTGTCACATTCATCTCTACACTTCTTGAATCTTGCCATCCCAAAGCACCAAGAAAATGCCCGTCCTGTTCTTAGCAACAGCAAAATCCCCATAGGACAGAGATGAGCAGAACTTACATTGTGTTTCTCTCTGAGTGGCAGGCAGGCAGAAGGGCTGCACCCTTTGTTGTTATGTAAAATAAAAGTATTTTTTCCTGGAAAGTAATTTTCCGGTGGAAAAAAAAAAGAAGAGCCTTTTCCAGGTAAATCAAACTTTGATCTGGATATTATATTTGGTAATATAATACTTCATTTAGTGGCAGATAAAAACAACTTGAGATTTTGAGGTGTTTTTTAAAAGGTCTTTGCTGCGTTCGAAATGAATAAAATGATTTGAAGTGATAGCGTTAAATGACTAGTTTATTATTTTTTGTTTCCACGGCTACAAATCAGGCAGATTGATGTAATGTGTATGTTTTCTTCTCACACCCACCACCCTCCCAGGCTTTTGTCGACTTCTTCTCTCAGTGCCTCCACGAGGAGTATAGGAGCAAGGGCATCTTTGTGCAGGTGAGTGGAGTTTGTTTCAGTGAGGTATCCCTGTTTTGTGTGGTTTCCAGAGCAACTGTTGCTGTCTTGGCAACGAAGGAAGATCACTTTGCTAAGTAAGCGAATGTGACGGTAGCACACCATTAAAGACATGGTTTCTTTTCCATCTATGTGCTTAAGTCTAGATTTCAAGAGATTATCACCTCGCATGTTTAAGTAGGGGAACCTAAAGTCGAACTCAGTGCAGCATTAACAGCCAAAGCATAATTATTTTAAGTTCTTGTGGTTTTATTTTAAGAGACTCTATCAGTTTCTCTCTTTTTAAAAATTATGGTAAAATATGCGTAATATAAAAGGTACCATTCTGTTCCCCTTTAAGTATGCGGTTCAGTGGCACTAAGTACATTCACATTGTTGTGCAACCATTGTCACCATCCATCTGCAGAACTCTTTTCATCTTCCAGAACTGAAACTCCGTACCCATTAAACACAAGCTCACCCCCTCTCTCCTGCCCTGGAAACCCTCATTCTATTTTCTTTTTTTT